GGTGGGAGCGCCGCTGCGCTTCCCAAGCGGCGCACTATCCATTGCGCCACCGGGCCGGCCCTGTCATACAGTTTTTATGGTTGGACCTAAATGTTGAGTCAGCAGTAAAAATAAAAGATGCTTGACTTCCCCGTTTCTCTCCTTTCCCCACAAAATCCTCATGTTGAAAGTAAAATGCTTTACTAATATAAAAGCCTTTGTTTCATTGTATTTTGATCCATGTTGGCTTATCTGTGGAAGACTACTCAAGGTAGTAAAAAAAAATCTAAGAAAAAAATCTTTAAAAATTCTGAGAAATGTTATTAATATTGATATTCTACATGTTTCACTAAAGTTTAAGATTGACATGATTTTTTTTCTGAGTATCTTGAATTATTCATATGTTCATTGATCTAATAAAAAAGAATGTAAATTAGAAAACTCACTAGTATCACGGACACATACTATCGTATTTATTTATATAATTTTAAATTACAGTCATGTGCCACATAAGGACATTTTGATGGACTACATATACAGTGGTGGTCCCATAAAATTCTAATACTTTATTTTTATTGTACCTGTTCTATGTTTAGATGTATTTAGATACAAAAATACTTATCATTGTGTTACAATTGTCTACAGTATTCAGTACAGTAACATACTGTATAGGTTTGTAGCCTAGGAACTATAGGCTGTACCGTATAGGCTAGGTGTGTAGTAGGCTATCTATACCATCTAGGTTTGTGTAAGGTGCTGTATGATGTTTGTACAACAAACAAATCACTTAGTGCATTTCTCAGAATTAAGTTATATGTGACTTTATATAGTAAGGTCTAATATAGTTTATATATTTTTCATCCAACTTTAAACATCAAGTCTTTAGACCTTGATTCCTTTCATTTCCAAATTTCTGGTGAAATGTCTTTGGTAATTGAGAAAATAATAATTATTATTATTTTTATGTACTGGAGAAGGGAAATGTAGAAATAAACTTTGAAGAATGTAATGAAACTATATAACAGCAAAGGAGAATCAATGCCTAAAAAAGCCAAGTTTTCAGATGTTTATATTTTATACATATAGCTCAGAGATCTTTTTAAAGTTAAGATGGCTGTGTATTCTCAAATGGTACATAAGTATTGTGTACGTGTTAAATAACCACATTTTAGTATATTTGAATCGAGAGATTAAAATAGAGTTGTAAAAGATAAATACCACATGTTCTCACTCATGTGGGAGTTAAAAATAAAGTAAGTTGAACTTTTTTTTTTTTTTTNACCCGTGGCCTTGGTGTTATCAGCACCACACTCTCCCGAGTGAGCCACGGGCTGGCCCAGTAAGTTGAACTTTTTGAAGTAGAGAGTAGAATTGTGGGTTACTAGAAGCTGGGAGGGGGAAGGAAGAAGAGGATAGGGAGGAGAGGTGGTTAATAGACACAAAATTACAGCTAGATAGGAGAAATAAGTTCTGGGGGTATACAGAAGTGCTATAGATTAGCAATAGTTTAGTTTATGTTCTCAAATGGCTAGAAGAGAGGAGCTCAAATCAGAAAGAAATGATAAATTTTTGTGACGATGAATATGCTAACTACAATTTGATCGCACATCATGTATGTGTATTGAAATATAACTCTGTACCCCAAAGACTCACTTATCCTTTGTTAGGGTTCATGTTTAGAAGGTTGGAATAATTGGTAATTGCTACATGTAAATAAAAAGAAACTGAAAGTTAAGAACAATAAAATAGAGTTGTAGAGGGACAGAGTCTCATTAAAAACAACATGAAAATAACTTGCCAGCTATTGATTTGTACTGCTTGAATGGGACAGCAGCATTATGGTTATCTGGAAATTATAGAGCCCTATTTTATAGTACTGTTATGTCATAGAGTGTTGGCAAGTTATTTAATTGAGAAGTATATGTCATGTGATATTTGCAGATATTTGCACAGAAATCAAATCACAGTGGTGTCATGTGCAAATAATTTTTTTAAAGGATTTTTTTAGGCTATTTGAAAAATGTTTAATATCTTATTTCAGATCTCATTTTAAGGCTGAAGTGAATTTGAAAACATGCCAGGCTTTAAGTTGTTACAGCTTAAGTTTCAATAGAATCTAAATTCTGCCTGTGGGGTCTCCTAAAAAATTAAATATAGGGCTGGCTCATTAGCTCGTATGGTTAGAGTATGGTGTTGTATTACCAAGGTCAGATTCCCATACTGGTCAGCTGCCAAAAAAAAGAAAAAAAAAAAATTAAATATACTATAACAGGTAGAAATGATCGTCTTGTACTTGTTGAAATGAGAGATCCTCAGTCTTT